CTGCCTTTTTTATAGAGTCTACCTTTAAGTAGTGAGTTGGTCTGTTCTAGTGAATTGAATTGCAATAAAATTACATGTATAGTATCACTACATGCTGCAATTTTGAATGTGGTTCTACAATTTTCGAATTCTATAATCTTTCTCCAATACTTACTTTTCAATGTTACTGCAAATTTTCATCTGGTATTGTAATCTTACTTTGCAATTTCTTCTAATGTTCACAAACTCTAAACTGCCATTACAAAGTTAGTACACAAAAAACTAATAAAGACAGCTTTTTACTTCATTACACACTTCAAACTTAGGCTGCCAAAACAATACCCTTTTACATAAAACAATCTGCCTTCACATACTAATTGCCTTTACAAAATGTTGTTCACAAAATACTACCACTAAACAAGGCAGATTTTTACTTCATTGCATTAGAGCAAGATTCAATCAAATGTATGTGTATTGGTTGAGCCAACACCTACATTAAAATGAATTTCACCCTCCACCATGTACTCCAATGTTTCTTCAATTAGATCATCCGGAACATCAATTTGTTTTGGTAGCGGCCCCATGTGATCCAACTTCCTTTTCTCTCTATGGGGGGTCTTGTAGTTGTTGCCATCTTTAACTTTTAAAACTTCCAGCATAACATATTGAAGATGCAGCCAAGTACAGTTTAATAGTTTTGGCTCATAATCATTAAATGCATCTTGGACTGGAGTGACTAGTTCATCTACATTCTTAGGAAAAGCTCTGTGTTGAATTGACTGAATACCTCTAAAAAATCCCAGATCAAGTATGTTCAAATCCGGGCTTTGGGCGGGCTGGCATGTTAGTTTGATATTGAACCCAAATGCAGTAGCAACTTCAGTAAATTGTTCATCATGCACACTTATATGAGGCCTGACATTATCTTGTTGAATTCAAATGTCTTTGCATGCATTAGATGGCCACTTGTTCCTTATAGCTGCTAAAACTGAAAAAATCAATGTGGCCCTAATAATGTCTTTTGAAACACTTTGTATTGCTTTTGTCTCTGGAGTGCCAGCACTCCTATTAACTGAGCTTCTTTGTGCACAAACAACTTTTGTGAATGGAAAAATTCCAATTTTACCATCCCATAAAACTTGCCCCTCAACTGAAATGTGTGGTCTTGCTACTGCAGCCAAGAACATCACCTTTCCAATGAATTTTTTGCTTTGACAGCTTCTATATGGATCATCCTCCCAAGGAAATAGGTAAAACTATTGCGTTTGTTTTGACATGTAGAACCACTTCTCGTCTATGTGAACCATGTTGTACATTGAACTAAACTTAGGAATTGTGTGCATTTGCCTGGGAATGATCTGACTCATAATGTGTTGTAGCCTCTTAATCATGTGTGAGTTAGTTAGTTTAGGCTCAATGTTGTTCGTATGGGCTCTCAACTGACCTGTTTTAAGCATTCTGTAAACAGTGGAGTGACTAATTCCAAGCGCAGTAGATAAAGATCTGATTATTGTCCTTTTATGAAGAGGCACAGCTTCAAGTGTACTTAAATCAAACTCTTTTGCTTTCCTTCCAACCCTTCCTTTTTTCCTGCTTTTTACATCTATCATTGTGCCTGTACCTAATTGCAATTTTGCTGCAGTCCAAAGTCTCCAGATAGTGGTTCTGTGGACTTTAAACTCTGCAGCAATCTGAGACGCAACTCCTTTTGGTAGATTTTTACCATCGGCTAGTAGCAGAAGTTTTTCTATAAGGTGTTTTCTTTGAATATTTTTCAGCTCCACCTCTTTTCTCCCAAATGATTGTATTTCTTCCTCACTTTCAGTTTCAGATAAGAAAGAAGATGATATGGCTGCATCTGGGTCGAAGTCAAAGTCAAAAAGCATGGCCTCCTCCAATTCAAGAAGCTCTGACACTGAAATTTCTTCGTCCATTTATGGAGCACTAGACTTTTGCGTATTTGGTTTTTGCTAGACAGAGCTCTTTGGTTGTCTGAATTTGTAAAATGCTAACTTCTCTCGTGACTACTCTGTATTTAATGTAGGCTCCCTCAATTATGGAGGGAAATTTGTTTTTTTTTTCACTTTGGCAAGTCCCTCCAATTTTTGGGATGATAGAGTTGTAAAAGTAGGAAGTGACAAGCCATTATTTGCACTGTAGCTCTTTGTACTCTTCTACTTTTTAAAAAACAATTGCTTTATCTATCGTAAGGTTTTTGTCAGGTCTCCAGAGGTTTGTTTTTAATTGCTGAAAGGTATAAAGAGGAAAATATTACTTTATCCCTATTTCTTAATTTGTGTGCCTTTAAGGTATGTTGCATCTAAATAAAAACGGAGGATAGGCATTTAGCAATGAAGCAAATTTTATATATGGAGTATTTATATATATTTATAGATACGAATTTAGACAATGATTTTATTCAACTTACATTTTCATTAACCTAATTTACATATCTATTTATCTCAAGTTACATATCTACAATCGTGAGTTACATGTCAAATTTTCTCAACAAGTTACATCTAGCTTACACGTGATTTATATTGTACATAATGAGAGTTACACCACAATATCAACCCTTGGTATTGAAACAAAAAAATTATTTTTTAAAATTCTTTTGATGGTCATGATATTAAAAACAAAACTTATTCACGATTTGCGTAAAGTAATTGTGCAATTAGACTTTTTTCATTGATTACATTGAAATCAATGTTTTATTTTTTACACTATGTATTTGACAAGTTACATTTTGAATGAAGTTAAGTTACATTGATCAAGGGAGAAGGCTCAAAAATGACACTAAGGTTATTTACGAAGTTCAGATTTGACATTAAACTTTTAAGTAGACCAAATAAACACAAGTTATATGTTTTTATGTCATATTAGGACACTCCTTCCGTCACGCTTAAATTAACTGCCATTCTCGTCAACTATCAACTTACCATTCATCTACGCCCAAAACCTAAATTAGCCCCAGCTCTCATTTCTTCTCCGATAGAAGACTGGACTTCATCAAACGATTCAGACCCATAGCAGCCAACTTCTGAAAACCCAAATCCCACGCATATACCTTCTCCCTATTCCCCCAAACCCGAGTTTTGACTATGCGGGTGGACCTACAACTCTACAAGACCCACAACTTGCACTGTAATTGGATAGAGCAATGAAAACAGTAGCAGAGGAGCCATTGACTACCCAAATTCCTTCTCGTTTGTGAATTAATTCCACTTGGTTGGCTTAGATTGGGAAGTTCATCCTTCTGGTATTTTTTCTCCGCCCACGTTTTGAAACAACAATATATGTGAACTGATGGTCAAGCTATGACTTTCATTCATTTTGGAGGAAAATAATGATATGTTTGGATTGAATCTAGCTTAATAGAAGAATGAAATGCCGACACACTTTCTGTCTTGGGCTCCAATTTAAGATTATTCCATGAAAGCATCTGTGGGCAGAGAAGGGTGCGACGAGGCTGGAAGGAGAAGGCGAGGATGGGACCAATTGGAGGGCTCAACAGGTACAAAGTCGAGATGTCAATTGAAAATGAAGATAGAGGGAGGATAACAAAGGTTTGGAGACATGCCATATGCGTAGAAGAGAGGTTTGTTTGGTGATGGGGAAGTGAAATAGAGATGTGGGAGGAGTTGACTAAGCAGGTAAAGGATTGACAACAGAGGTATGGGCCGTTAACGGTGGGTTTAACGGAGTTTTAAGTGGGTGGCCAAATGTAGTCTAAATAAGTTGATTATGAGTTTATTTGGTCTACTTAAAAGTTTAATGTCTAATCCGAACTTCGTAAAAAACCTTAGTGTCATTTTTGAGCCTTCTCCCCATTGATCAATAACATGAATTACATATCTTTATACGCGAGTTACATCATTCATGTTACTACTGAAACAAAAAGAAAGACAAACAGTTACCGTACACGCGTTTATCTATTCACACAATTTAAAAAAATGTGTAAAACATTTGAGGTTTATATTTTAGGTATTTCTTAACATGGAGCATGGAGCACGGTAATCCCACGCTATACGAACTCAAATAGATATGACGACTATTTGTGATTTATTTATGGTTTGTTTATATTTTAGGTATTTCTTAAATAATCACTTGATATTTAAAATAGAAATTAGTTCAAATAGGACTAAAACTATGGCAAAAACCTAAAATAGGACTTGTTATGTTTTTATTCCAAAATAGGACCATATGAGTCCTATTGGAAACATACCTATTTTTGCATTCCATTCTTACCCTTCCATTAAATATGAATTAAAAATAGTCAAAAGCCATAATTAAATGTTTAATTCATAATAAAATCGAAAAAAATTCAAAAATTCGTAGAAATATAATTAAAAAATTTATAAAATTTTTATAAAATAAAAAATTCAATTTTTTTAAATAATTTTATTTTTAAAAAAATTAATAAAAAATAGTAAAACTCCGTAAAAAAAAATTAAAAAAATATGGATGCCTTTCCCACTGCCTGTACTACCTCCCAGCACCACCACCTCCGGCCGATGAAAAAAATGCCATTTTCCCAGAAAAATGCCATTTTTTTTTCCTGAAAATGCCAAAAAGTGGCATATTTCTTTTTTCGAATGCCAACATTTTCATTTTTTTCTGCCATAAATATGAGATTCGTAATGAACTTGGCATTTATTTCCCCTGGTGACTGGAGGTGGTGGTGCAGAGGCGGCAGAGGCGGCGACGATTTTTTTTTTTTGAGTTTTTATTTTTTTTAATTTTTTTAATTTTTTGAAAAAAAAAATTAATTAAATTTTTAATATCGAAATGTTTTTCTTAATTTTTTAGTATTTTTTACAAATTTTTATTATTTTTTATTATTTAATTAGGAATTAAAATATTTTAATAGCTATAAGGGTATAATTGTCCAAGGTACACATAATTAATCCTATGTAAACATAGTTTATTTTTTGGTCCTATTTTTGAAAAGTGAATGACTTTTAGTCCTATTTTGATAATTAACTCTGTTTAAAATAAATCGGAAACCATTGCATCGACAGAGAAGGCGGAGGTGAAGGAAACCATAGCGGTTAGGGTTTTAGGATGCCGAGTTTCAACAAGTCGCAGAAACAAAGGCGAGCGGCAATCGCTGAACGAAAGAGAGCGATTTTCGGCGATCCCTTCACCGGAAAGATTAAGCAGAAACCGCAGCCGCTTTCGATTTCCGGGAAGCGCAAGCGCAAGATCTTCAAAAAATGGCGAAAGGTTAGTTTTTCTTCACTACTCCTCAATTATGAGTTCATATGGCGTATAAACAAGAAAAACCTCGATAGAAGAGCATGACTATTAGCGTTTCAACGTCGCTGGCAGAGCCTTATTAGTCCCATTTAAAAAATGATTTCGAATAAGTAAGATATAAATTGTTGTTGGGTCGAACTAAATGATTCGTTCAGTTCATAATCAACACTCGATTGACATTTCAAACTGGAATATTATGGACATTTTGTTACGGGTTGTATGGTTGAAATGGCAGTCTGTCTTTTGAAAGAACAAAGAAGACGTATTCTGCAACTTCCATTGTAACCAAATAAGCACTAAGCCAGAAAAAAAACACAATTTTTTACCAACATTTTTAGTAGTATTGTCATCACACACATAGGGTGCTTTTCCAATAAATGAGTTCTCTGCATTTTTACAATTTTACTCATTCTTGTGCACTATTTGATGCCCCCGTTGCACTTTTTCGTGTGGCAGAAAACTTTGGTTTGTTCACCAAATTGACTGTTTTTAATCAAACCAAGTGCATTGTTGGATCATTTTGAGCCATTAGATATCATATTTAATGCACGAGACTCGTTCTCACTTTTCACGCGAAGAACTCTTTTTATTTGATCAAAAACCTATATACAATAGTATATATAGAGAGAAACACAAATTTTGACTCCTTTTAACTTCACTCGCATAGTATGAAAGCTGAATGACAGATGTTCTAATGATGGCTTATGATGGGTCTGCTTATGAAGTACAAAACTTGTAACTTATTACTATCGAAAAACACTTCTCGGTTTGCACACTTTATAACATTCAATTGACCCTTTGATGTATGGTGGTGAACAGGAGCAAAAGGAGGCTCTGGGGAAGGGCTTAATCACCATGGAAGATGTTGAAATGGCTGTTGCTGATGGTGTGTTTCTATGTCTCTAAGATATTGTTATGACATGCCTACGTCAGTTGAAAAATGATCTAACTTCTTCCATGTTTTAATCAAATCAGGGAAGGTTGGAGAAGCCAACAAGAACCCTAGGAATTTCCACTTAAAGAAGAGCTCAAAGCTCAAACTGAAGCAGCTTAAGAAGAAGAAAGGTGAATTACTCAACTATGGATTTACTTACTTAGTGTCTGTTTGGAAGTGCTATTAGGCTGAAACTGCGGAGTACTATGGTAAAATCGATTTCAGCAAAATGAGCAAGTCAAAAACTACTTATTTAGCAGATTGTGGCTAACAAACAGAGATTGCACTGAAAGTTTGTTTTCTCTAAAAATGCTTTTATTTCTACAGGCAAGAGCAAAACAAAATCCCATAAACAAACAGAAGGAACTACTGGGAATGCAATGGAAGAGTAAATTACAAAATTGTAATGTCGGATTTTAAGCTATAGAATCTTGTACATTCTATCAGCAACTGTAGTTTGACAATGTTGTGTTTTATACTGATTTGAGCTTCTGATTCACTTTTATATCTCTTTTTCTTTGGGCTCTGCAAATTTGCAATCAGTGAAATGCCCGTTTAATGATTCACTAAATATGTTTTCTTTTCAGTTGCATCTTGCGTGAGAATCAATGGAAAACAGTTTTGGTTTTCTATTTCAACTAGTAAATTGATTTGAGTAGTCATGGCTCATGGCAGAAGCTACTCTGAAAGATTGTAAAGTCAATTTTCAGCAACACACTTGCATAGTTGCATACCATATAAATTTGAAAACTGACTTTATATTTGATGAATTTGATGAACTGAACTTTACATTTGTACTACTCTTTTCATCCAAGAAAAAATTTAAAAATCCAACCACATAACACAAAAGTGTTAAGTGGCGCTCTATATGACTATATATGAGGTTCAAAGAGTTTTATCCCAAAATAATGTTGAATAAAAAAATATTTCCCCAACTAAGGTTAGGTTAAAAGTATTTCTCAAAACAGTGTTCGGATAAAACTCTAGTTAACTGTACAGGCAACTAAACCGCAGCTTAAGCAAATTAAACGAAGGGCGTAGGAAACGTACCAAGTCATGGACAAAAGAGGTTAATACTTACTTTTTTATTGGTGTGTCACCCATGAATATTATTATCTATTTTTTTCAAAGTGCTATAACTGTTTTATTTGTACTCCAATTATCGCAAAAAGTATATCAATATTTATAATTATTGGAATTTTATCGGTCTAGGATCCGAAAGTTAAGGCTACTATCAATTTTGGACTTAAAAGATAATTTGAATCAATAAAGGACCTAAAAGATTGTAAACTATCGATGCAGGATCCGGCAATTTAACACCGTTAGTTTATTACTAACGGAATAATGATGATTGTCTCCGGCAATTTAACACCGTTAGTTTATTACTAACGGAATAATGATGTGGAGTCACATAGATTAAAAAATTAAATACAATCACTAAATTGACACGTCTCCCGTTACGTTTCATCTTCTTGGTTCACCGACTCTATCTTCCTTCACATTTTTCAGACTCGTGAAACACCATTGTCGTCACCTCATATCACTCTTCCAAATCAAAAACAACCTCAGATTGCTAAATCTTCCAAGCTCACTCATCTAACTTCATCCAACTCCTCAAATCGGCTTGTTTGGATGTTCAAATAACAAGAGAAACGTATCACGGAGCTAAGAAGAACACACATCAAAGCTCTAGTTGCTGGTATTTAATCTTTTACATTAGCATCTTGAAATATTTGATGTCCGGGTGAATCATTAGTGGATTAAGTTAAAGGTGCCTAGTTTTTTCACAGTTTTGTTTTCGATTTTTTTTGTAGAGCTACAGAGATAATCTGATTAGAAAGTATAAAAGTTTACATAGTGAGATAGAGAAACCTCATCTGCTAGAGATTATTCTTTAAAACCCAGTAGATCTAGTTTATTCTTTAAAACCTCATCTTTCAATTTCTTATAATGTAAAAATTGAGTTGCCCATTTGAGAAACCTACAAGCTACAGATTAGGAGAAAGGAAGAGTCCCTAATTTTCAGACTTTTTACTTCATTATCTAAGAGTAGCAATCTTGTCGATATCAATAATCTGGAAATATGTCTAGTACTTGCAAAAGAAACAAAAACTCTATCTAAACTTCTTAGAGAACATTAATTTAGTGACTTTATTGGGAGCAGAGAATCATTTTTGCATCTTCTTATTTTATAGTAGTATTAATTTCACAATTGTGTAGGTGACATTTATTTTGAAGAGGTTTATGTTTTTTCTCTATATTGTAGAAGATGATTGCTAGTACGAGGTGATTACTTCTTCAAACAACACTGATATGATAAAGGCATTGGGAAATATTTTCTTCTATATATTCATTGTGAGCTACGGTTGTTTGAATTTGTTTATAAAAATGTGTGCAGGTGGATTAAAATTGCTTTTGTATCTAATGGTATAGTAAAATAATAGTGATAATTGAAATGTCTTCATAATTCTAAAGGTCAAGTGTCCTGCCTCCATATTGTCAAATTGTTAATCCAACTTAATGGTCTTCCCTTTTTTCAAAACAAAATTGGAAACTGAAATGAAATTATTAAGTGCACCAATAGTCCACCATATGATCATATAAGGATCAAGTAATTAACTAACAAGTGGTTTAAAACTCTACAAACATAGTTTCTAATAATTCAAGCTAGATTGCCAACATCATTACTATAATGATACACTAATCATCACTGAGGGAGTTACTGGAATCAGTCCTGCATTTCATCCACACCTGGGGGATCATAGATGGTTGAGTTATAATTATCATACACTTAAGTCATTGCGTCTATATTTGAAGTATATGCACCTACACCCTAAGTCCCTAATTCACTTATTTATCATTACAAAACAAAAAGGAACTTCCTTATTTAGTCATTGAAGTTTATTTAGTTTGTGAACTTTCATTATCCTTACCAAATGAAGTGGTTATTTGAAACGTATTACCTTTAGTAAAATATTTTGCTTAGAGCTGTAAAATTAGATTTATCTTTGAAAGGTAGATCCTTTAACGTGATTTTCTCCATATGATATAAACAAAATTTAAACCAAGATAAGTATGAATGAGCCTATATAATTCAAACATGTATGTTTTTAACAATCTGAAACACTTCATCTATAATTGAAATTACATTTAATCAAAACAAAGACAAAAATAAAACAGTCTAAAAACTTCTAATTCACAGTTTCACTCTGTGTCAATGAAAACGAATTAAATATGATAATGAAGCATCATATCCCCAAGGTTGTGTTCTGTCTTCTCTCTAGCTCCTATTCTTGTCTTGACAAAACTAGCAAGTTGAGAAACTGGACCATGGTCAGGGTACTTCCTATAAAAAAGACATTACATATTATAGAATTATTTACACGAATGTGTAAGATATGTGTATACATAATAATATTGGATTGGAGAAATGTTTTGAAAAGCCTTACTTGCTCATTCTCTTTACAAGATCTCTTATTATGCCCAAGCTGCCTACATTTACCACACTTGATCACCCCATATTTTCTTTTAGCTTTATGAGGATCCCTCCCTTCTAGTGAGGATTTGTGTCTCTGCTTTTTTGGCCTCCCTGGCGGCCTTTTTAGTATTGGTGGTTGTATTAGCACATTATCAGCTTTAGGGAAAAAATTAGTACTGCCCATCGGATTTATTTCATACTCATAAGCCTTAAAAAAGTACTCACGAGTAAAATATTGGTGTACAAAATCTTCTGGTCTTCTCTTCATAGAAATTCTAGCGGCACAAGCATGAACACAAGGAACACCTGTCAAGTCCCATAGCCTACAAGTACATGTATTATCGAGAAGATGAACAACAAACCTTTTAGGTCTAAGTGTAACCTCAAATATAACTTCTCCACATGAAATTGCTGCCCATTTAGTAGATTCCATAATGTAAGTATTCAACTTCTTTAATGTCTCTGGGCATATTGACCCACTGCTGCTCTCAATCCGCTTCTTCTTTTTCATTAACTTCATTGCTTTAGTCCTTATGTTATCTATAAGTATATCAACATGATTGTCTCGATACTTCTTTATAACTCCATTGAAGCACTCAATGATGCTACTTGAGAACACATTACACTTGACATGATTTTCGAAGTGTGCTCTACTCCATCTCTCAGCACCTATTTGACAGAGATATTCCCATGCACCATAATCTTTGCTCTTCATCTTATTCATATATTTTTCAAAGTCACATATCATAGTGGATTTTGCAGCTAACCAAAAAAGTGACCTAACTTGTTCGTCTTTCCATTTTTTCTGAAAGTTTGTATACATATGACGTACACAGAAACAGTGATGTGTAGAAGGGTATATTTAGTCTAGGGCTGACACAAGACCCTGTAATGAAGCTAACTGATAAGTAATAATATTACGTAAGCAATAATATTATGTAAGGAATAATAAAGGATATTATTACATATTTACCTTTCCTTGGTCAGAAATGAATGTCCATCTCTCTCCGCGTATAGATTCTTGTCAAATATCACTCAACAAGTTGTTTAAAAACCATTGCCATGTCTCTCTAGTCTCGGATGCTACTACTGCATAAGCTATTATGAATAAACCATTGTTTCCATCCAGACTAACTGCTGCAAGCAATTGACCACGATAGTATCCACTCAAATGGCATCCATCTACTGCTATTAGTGGTCGACAACCACTCAGAAACCCCTTTTTGCAAGCATCTATGCATATATATATATATATATTCTATCAAATCTTGACTGACCACTTTGACCATCTTCTAGGCAAAGTAATTCTATAGTAGATCTAGGATTGGTCTTTTCACTAACTCCTCACAATAATTCGGTAACCTCGAATACTGTTGATTAACATTGCCATCAAGTAATTGCAGAGCATATGCTTTTACTCTATAAGCCTTCACAATACTAATTGTGACATTATATTTAGTAAATATAAGAACTTTCACTTCCTCACCTGTCATTTTTGCATGCCGTCTAAAGTCTTCAATTAACTTATTTGCCAACCACTTAGTATTAGCAAATTTTTCTTTCACTCCTTCCTTTTGACAACTATGACTAGAGATGAATGTTTTGACCTTGTAAGTTTCTAAATTTCCAACTTTTGAACAGTAGATAAGCCATGGATACCTGCCCATACATTTCACTCGACACCTTATTTTATCATTCTTCACAAAGGACAAATTAAACATGTTTCGGACACCATAGCTTCTAACAGCTTCACAAAAATCATCAATTGATGCAAATGTTTGCTCCAACTTAAAGTGATCCTCCCCTTGACTCAATTTGATGTGGGCAGAATCTATTTCATCTCCACTAGTTGAATATTCAGATTCATGAATGCTTTTCAATTCCGTCAAAGAATGTATTATAATTGCCTCTGACAAATCAGAGAAGTCACTTGTCTCATTTGACAAATTAGCACCAACTGTATCAATAGTGGGGAGTGAGTAACCTATTGGTTGGTTATTGTCATCACCAACACTATAGTACTCGTCTATACTCCATTCATCTAATGGATTGTTTCCTGAATCCATCTGTTAAAAAAACCTATAAAAAACAAATATGTTAAACTACAATAGTCAACACTATTTAATGATAAAACTATGTTTGAAAACTATAAAACTAAAATAGTTGGTAACATCTGTATCTCAGGTTGAAAAACAGAGTACATAGTTATTCTGTATGTTGCGTGATTGTTATCTCTTTTAAGTCTATTTTTTGTATCAAGAAGAAAGAATATTAAACAAGCAGATGGTGTTTATATCTATGTGGGTTCGTTTTGTTTTTTTTTGTATTAAAGTTAGTGTGAAGATACTAATGAGCATACTTCAAGTACGGTTAAAAATAATATGATTGATGGTGATGATGATAATTTAAGCTTTTTATAGGATACAAATTGCACAATAATGGCATGGTGAAAAAGGTTTGTAAAAATGAGATGCAAACCTGGTGGGATAGAATTCCCAGAATATTGTGAAGATCAAGAAAATTGCTTGTGAAGAAACAAATGTCTGTGCGTAGAGTCGTGGAAGAAACTATTTTTGTGCAGTTGTGCTTCAAGATACTGCGTAGCAGAATAAGATCGTTGGCTTGCTGCGGCTTAATAACCTAGTTAAATTCTGACTCATCATATAATTAAAAATAATACTAGTATTATTTTTTTAATGTGTGGCGCCACATCATTATTCCGTTAGTAATAAACTAACGGTGTTAAATTGCCGGGTCCTGTATCGATAGTTTACGATCTTTTAGGTCCCTTATTGATTCAAACTATCTTTTAGGTTCAAAATTGATAGTAGACTTGACTTTCGGGTCCTAGACTGATAAAATTCCATAATTTTTTATTATCTTCTACTCCGTATATGATAACAATATTGCATATATAAAAAGAAAAAATTATTTAACACTTTAGAAAACTTTTGTTTTTGAAGTACTATAACATTTTTATATGTACACTCCGATTGTTACAAAAAATATATTAAAATTCGTATCCTTTTATTCTTTCATATTACATTAATATTTTAAATAAATAAAGAAATACTATTACTCTAGAGTGTCAGCTTAGAATAAAAGTACACAAACTAATATTCATTTCATATAAAAGATAATAAAAGTTCTAATTTTTTATATATATTTTGTAGCAACAAGCGTACAAATAAAAAGGTCATACTTCATTCGTCCCAATATTATATTCACTCCGTCTTTTTTCGTTTATCACAAAATAAACTCATTTTTTAGTCAAGGGTCTGTGATTCACGACATTTATCCTCACTTTCCTTTTCATCTACATAATTTTACGCAGCACATTTTCCACTTCTTTAATTCGTGTGCAAAGTCAAAATAGAGGATAATATTGAAACGGAGGGAGCAACTCTTTTAAAACAAAAGTTTTTAGTGTGTTGAATTATTATTTTTACGTTATATATGTAATATTGTGTCCTATGAAAGATGATAAAAAATTGTAAATTTTAATATATGTTTTGTAACAATCGGAATACAAATAAAAAAGTTATAACACTTTAAAAAATGGGAGTTTTAAAGTGCTAAATTACTTATATATATATATATATGTGTGTGTGTGTGTGTATGTAATATTCGAGTCATATGAGAGAATAAAAAAATAATTTTTGATATATTTTTGTAATATTCGAAGTAAAAATAAAAAAATTACACCATTTTAAAAATAATCGAAGTACAGCATTTTGAGGGAGTAACTCTTTTAAAACAAAAGTTTTTAGTGTGTTGAATTATTATTTTTACATTATATATGTAATATTGTGTCCTATGAAAGATGATAAAAAATTGTAAATTTTAATACTATGTATATGTTTTGTAACGATCGAAATACAAATAAAAAAGTTATAACATTTTAAAAAATGAGAGTTTTAAAGTGCTAAATTACTTATATATATATATATATATATATATTCGAGTCATATGAGAGATAATAAAAAAATAATTTTTGATATATTTTTGTAATAATCGGAGTAAAAATAAAAAAATTACAGCATTTTAAAAATAATCGAATTACAAGTTCTTTTAAGGTAAGAAATTATTTTTACTTTTATATATGCAATATTGATTTCATATGAAAGATAATAAAAAGTAATAAAACTTGATATAATTTATGTAACAATCAAAATATAAATGAAAAAAGTTAGAACTTTTAAAAAATAGGAGATTATTTGTTGGTGGGACCAAGAGTCCAAGACTATTATTCATTCTCGCGCTACATACTTCTAGCTTAAGCCACCAATTGAATAGGGTGTGCTCTAACTAGGGTTAATCCCAACAGTGGGATTTTTTTTATAAGAACTCTAAGTTGAAGAAATATTTTTTTATTTAGCATTATTTCAAGAAAAAACTCAGGTTCAAAATCATTTTTTGTAACTTCGAGGCATTTTAAAATAATCTTTTAGATGAGAGAGAATTCCCTAAATAGGAGTATAAAAGTTTTGAAATTCCAAAATAGGAGTATCATGTCTTTTATTCTTTGAATAAGAGTAAATTTCTGCCAAGTTTGGCATTATTAGGCTTTAAAACATGACATTTTTTCCCAAACTTGGCAGATTACTCCTATTCAGGAATAAAAAACATGATACTCCTATTTTAGAATTTCAAAACATTTTTGCTCCTATTTAGAGCAATTTCTATTTAGATAATCCTATGAAATACTACTACCTAAGAAACACAAAATACCAAAAGTAACAAGGAAAAAAAGAACCTACACTTCGCTTTGATTTTTTAACATATCACGAAATCAATGTCACACTTAAACTGACCAGTTTTACCTACACAACACAAATCCAAGCACTACTTATTCTTAACATCAAAGTTAGACTCATTCTGATGTAGCAAGCTAAATAATAACGGCTGAAGCATTCCCGGTTTTCTTTAGTCTGCATGAAATCTCTGTTTAGCTCAAAGTAAAATGTAATAACAGACAAATGACTACCTCCTGAACATGCCTGAATTTTGGAGGGTCTTACAATAGTCTAAAATAATAGATGATGATTTAACAAGATCCCATATCTTAGCAGAGTTTTTCAGCCAGTCACGTTCAGACACAGTCCTTGAGAATGATGGACCATTCATGGACAGAACCTGAAGAATATAGTATAAACTTGTTACATAGACGAGTCCTTTCCTCAAGTTCCTAAATCACACCATTCATCAATGGGGAGGAGGTAGATGAACAGTGGATATCTAACAGGAGAGAAATCATATAGAGGAAAGTAACGAGAGGACACCAAACCCCAGCATTAAAAGCCATTTGTTTTAGTGGGGGACGGGAATCCTAATCGCAAAAATATTAAATGCTCATGTTTGTTGGTGGGGATTGAGGATGAGATTACATGCCATGTGAATTCCAAAGAGACCAATGCTTATGGGGATTTGGGAGACATGCGTTTAAAATGGGAGTTGGATATTTTAACGGGGTTTGCAAGAAAAAATGCAAGTAATGATGAGGATTAAAAGGAAATTTTGATTATAATAATCCAAAACTTTTCTTCTTGATTTATAAGTCTCATCTAACCTTTCCAAACACCTTCAAGTAACAGACCATTTTTAGAGTGAAAATACTTTAGCAAAAAATAAATTTGACATGAAAGTTTTAATAGATACTCATATCAGAAGAAAGCGGCACTGTGGTAATGATGATGACGACTCATATCAGAAGAAACAGAGTTGTGTAAACAGACTGGAAAAAGTTGAATTATTACAATCATTTTTTCCTTAAAAGAAATTGCATCGATTCCATGAATTCTACATCGCACCGTCCAACTCCTTTCCTAATTCCCACTAATCAAACACCCCATGCATGGGTGGAAACCATCTCCCTTTAGAAAGCTTCTTTCTCCACACAAGAAAACCATTGCACACATCTGAGAAAAACAGAAGTGCTCCATATGCAGTGAGCCGGTGAGGACCCGGCCACTGAAGTTTTATCATATGTGTAATTTGTGGGCCACTTGAACAACTAGGGGTAAGGGGTCCACTTAAATATCCTGATGATCCACAAATTGCAAAAATGACAAAACTTCAATGATTGATTCATTAAGGGTCTGTTATGAGCTCATATAATGCTAGGAAAGAAAAAAGGGAAGAAAACGCTGGTAATATCTGGAAGACTTGGAAAATATTGATGAAAATAAAACATTTTTCAAACTCAATAGGTTTACATATATTATTTGTTCATCTCATTTTTTATAATTTTTTGGTATTATATAAATCCTACGAATTCTTTTTTTTTTATACATAAAGAGATGAGAAACATTTATCCTATTTTGTCTCCATTTCCATTTTCTGAGGTAAAACCAAATATAACAAAATAATTTCCCTAAAGATTTCCTTTCCTTCACCTAGCATTTCATGGGGTCAGAAGATAGCCTAAATGATTAGTGTTTCTGGAGAACTGTAATTACTTCAGTGATAACAGATTCTGATTCATTTTGATTGAGTGCAAGAGAGAGAGAGAGAGAAAGACCTGATCTCGAAGTTTCCACAAGGCTGTTACATAGCTTTCATACTGTGCTTTTAAGGCATTGTCTTTCTGCTTTGATGGAAGGAGGAATACTTTCAGCAACTGAGAGTCAACATTGCTACTTTGGGAGTTGGCATGCAGAGAAATATTAGTGTCTTTTGACTTCATAAAGGAAGAACCACTGAAAAACTGCGGCAATGCTTTCCTCAACTGAGACAGAGTATGGGGAGTAAGATCCCCCTTACGTAACCTAAAAATGAGGTGAGCGCATTAACAATAAAATTCAACTTTCAATTTTTGCATACTTTTATTGTTAATGGTAACGGTTAATCAATGAAATTCGACTTTCATTGATTAATCTTTACCATCAAGTATGTATAGCTTTAGCAGTCATGGTAAAGGTTAATCAATGTTGACCCACTTTGAATGGACAAATACTGGAGTGGCCATGTATTCTTCACCCGCTTCTCCAGTTTTATCTTTGATTTCTTTTTCTGAGAGAAAACTGGAGCTTTGAGGATGGGAGAGTGATATAGATGATGGGTCTGGTATGCCATGTTTTAGCAAGGCCACCTGCAACTCAAAGTATGAGAAAACAAAAGAAACCATTAACCTTTTGGCAAGGGGTATTTGCATGAAATGGCTGAATCTTCTGGGAAAAGAAGCGGTAACTTCCACATCAGCCAAATATGCAAGTCAAAAGCTACTTAATCACATAACTTTTAAAGACAGAACGAGCGAGATAAGCCTGCTGAACAGAGACTAAGAAGACAGGTTTAAAATTTCAACAAGAAAAACAAAAAATGCCTCGAATAAAACAGGAGGAGAGATGCAGTCAAAAAATGTTGAGGAAAACTCTACTCCACATTTGTCCATAAGTTTAGATAAGTAAAATTTATCTTTAGGACCAACATATCCTCATTTGTAAGCATTCTATAAAACTCCATCGCACTACATTCAAAAGCATTTTGGATTTTTAAAAATCCAAAATTTTGTAAAAAAAGGGAACTAAAGTGAAACTAATCAAAGTTGAGAAGGAAAAGTGGAAATGGCACATCATAATTGAGAAAGCTAAATATTTGTTTCTGTGTGATAACAATCCGCCAAGCCAATGGAAATGCCCAGTTAGGAAGTTTTAGAAGAAATCCAATGGAATGCTAAAGCAGTACAACTGTACAAAGCTGGTAGATTATAATACCGTGGACATTAACTGCCACATGCTCAAATTGTGAACATTTTCTGATACCACAATGATAATGTGACAAATGGATGAAAGATACACACCAAGCTATAGAAATCCCTTGCATGAACACAAAAGAGATAAAGAGTAATATTTGATTATAGTATTAATCAATTCAGCGTTAACAGTAAGAGAACAATATGAAGAAAATAATGTTGGTTTGGGGCTCGGAAAAGACTAGGGGAAAAAGGGGAGTGGGGATTGAGATTAAATTTGGAAGGAAAGAAACTGTCAGGGGAAAATTGATTCAAACTCAATAGTCCAATTCGGGTACTTGTTTAAACTCATCTTATTAAAGTATTTCATTAAATAAAGACTACAACACAACAACAACATCCAAGCCTTAGTCCCAAAAGATTTTTGGGGTCGGCCATTACAACACAACATCTAAACTTTTGAATTTTTTAATAATTTTCTATTTAACTTCATATTTTCCAAGTTAAAACCAAATATAACAAAAGAAAACATTTTCCTTAGTAGTGTTTTCCTTCCCCTACCATTTTCCGAGTTCCAAGCATAGCCTACATGAAATAACAAGATTTCTGACAACAAATATGACATGCAACTTGGCCGATACCTGGATACTCATAAGTTCATGAGCCAGCTCAGCAGAAAGGGATTCACCAGCTATCACAGAGATACTGGACGAGCCATCTGGCCTCATTATGTCAGCTAAAAGTGATGGACTATAAACAGGCTGCATGCAACTATACCATTATAATAGTTCTCATTGAAATGCAATACGTAGTATAAAGTTCTCTAAACTTAGGATTTTTTCTCTGATACTTCCTTCAAGAAAAAAAGAATATATGAAGGAGTAAAAGAAACAATAAAACAGATTGCTACTAAGCAATGATTTAGAACCTGAGTATCAAGGAGAATAATCCGCTCAGATGAAACCCGAGCTTCCATTCCAGCAGTGCAATGCTTAGCCATTGCCCTTGTTTCTTCTGATTGTATTGCAAACAGAGGGAGGATTCCTATTCAATGGAAAGCCAATCCAAAAAAATTGAAGATCCCTTTTAATACTGTTTCATGACATTGCAAATACTATTGAGTATTGATCATTGTTCTAATAATCGCAGCCTAGGTAGGCCTTCCTTTACCACTGGAATTTATTCTTGGTTTGGTTCCGCAAATTCTCACAAGCCCCATTAGGCCTTACTAAGACCAATAAAGCACTAAGACCTAGTCTGTCACCTAGAGAGGCCGTCACTTGCTTTTTAGAACATTTCTATTACGGAGTACTTAATAGACTTAACAAAACTACAAAAGTTGCATACCAGTAGAGTTAGAATCCAATCCATAAATTTCATTCATTATGGTCGACTTGCCCACCCCTGGCGGACCAATCACCCCCACCACAGTAAAATCTGTATTATCAGTTAGAAACTGCAAAAAGCGCAATCTTTAGCAAAACTGACAAGAGAGAATCGCAGCGAGCGCACTAAATACGAGGACTGGTGCAATTACTGGGAGGAATCGATCAGCGTTGAACTCCCAGGAGTCAGAAAGCAGGTTGAGAGAACCGATTGGCGGAATACGAGACCGAAGCGCGGTAGGGTCATCATCAGCGCCGCCGCGATTGAACTTGCCAGAGGTGATGAGTCCAGGCTTGGCTAAGAGAATTTTGGGAGCGTGATGTGACGCTGGAGATGCACTGCTAGCCATGGATGGACTTTCTAATGTTCACACGCGGGAAATTCACTCAGCTGTTCCGCGAAGAAGCAAGCCTAGGAAAATGTTTGGGGGAAATCCCAGGACTTTATAGACTCCTTAATACGTAGTACAACACTCTTTCGAAGATTATCTGCAGTATTTCTTTTCTATTCGTGTGCCCTTAAATTTTGTAAAAATTTGTGTGTTCTAATCATTCTTATTTAATTTTTGTTTTGTTAATTTAATGTCAATCACATAAATTCATTTTTTTAAATAATTATGACCTCCTCATCTCCCAATATTTGATAAACGATTACATATTTGACTGTACAAAAAACATATAAAACTATTCCAGAAAACTATTACATATTCGACTGTACGTCTTAGAAATAGAAATTGAGTTGACACTTCATACAAAGCAATCTGACTCGCAATACAAAATACGCTCAAATTTTAAGTCCAAAATGAGTCAAAGGACCAAAAATGAAACATTGCATATCAAAAGTTTTCATATAAAGTATCCCAACCATACATACTTGAACTAAAATAAAAATAAGCATCACAAAAAAATGACACTAAAATAAGACATTTCCACGAATCTCTTACTAACAAAGAAGTGATTTCGGGGGAGGACAAGCCACTTCAAGCCTGCAGTATGGGTGAATGATAAATTCATCTTCTTACTTCGCTTCGGATAAACGTAGAAACAAGTGGAATAAAAATCAATGTTTATGTCTCAACCATTTTGTACAACCCAAAAGCTCCAAGGCACCTCTTTTCCTCTTGAAACTATTCTCTCAACCATATAAGATCTCCCTCTTCTTCCTTATAGCTCATTTCCCTCATTTGCTTGTTACCCTCATTTTCATTTGAAGTCATGAGACATCTTCTCCTACTTAGGATGCACCATTTATTCCCTAAGTGCGACCCTCCTCTATGCACATCTTCATACATCCAAGACTGAAAAAGTGATCAATATATCCTAACACTCCATATATAAAACATGGGATGAACCATTTATTCCATAAGTGCGACCCTCCTCTATGCATATCCGCACACATCCAAGATTATAAAAAGTGATCAATATATCCTAACACTATAAATAAAACACAAATTGGGAAGCTTCTAATACATAAATTATGTCCAAAATCAATTCTCATGCTTTTGTCTTACTTCCTTCTCTTCAACGTGCTATTAATGTTAAAGGAGACCTACTACGTATATGAGAAGAACTTACTCCTCCAAGAGTGCGTCTATTAATCAGAACAAGAATCCTTGTAACATTTCCAATTTCCAATACATTTACTCACCTTCTCCATTATGAATTGTAGACTGTGAATGTAGATCTATAATTTAGTACTACCTCTGTCCCACTATGTTTGGGACAAGATGGTGTGGCACAACATTTAAGAAAAAATGGAATTGTATGGTTGGTATTGAATTGATAAAATGTGAATAAAGTAAGAATGAATTGTAACCACACAAATATTATCAAATATGGTATGAGACAAATGAAAAAGGTAAAACGGAACAAACTTGGAAGAACGGAGGGAGTATGACCCAACTCCATTTCTAGGGGTTTATCAGCCGCTTTCACTCGCTTAGTAACCATTGAGTTATGTTAAAAATGCCAAGGGCCATCATGGAACACTCGTTTAATATCGTGTCATGATCAAATGAATCATAATTCTTGTGTCACACTGTCACTTATCCCCTCAATACTTACACCCTTCTCTGAATGTCATCATTTCACGGGGCATTACCGGTGAACGTAACTCAACTGGTAGTAAGGGGTGCACAAGGGGTAAGTCTCGAGTTCGAATTCCGGCAACGATGATGAGAGGTTACTATGCGAAAATGCATAAGACATCCGCAAGTGCCAGAACCCCACTCTCTATATGTCAGTTTGTGATTAAAGTTCAATTTACATCCTCCCATCTAACTGCTCGGTCGGTGTTGGGCAGGGACGGATTTGGGGCCAGTTGGGCCAGGCAGCTGCCTTGGGCCTCACCTGCCAAGGGGCCTCAAAGGCAGCCTTTGTTGGAGGCCTCAATTGTCTGGTAGGTATTGCACATAATTTTTTTTGGAGGCCCCCTTGGCAGGTGAGGCCCAAGGCAGCTGCCTGGCCCAACTAGCCCCAAAGTCGCCCCTGCCCAACACCGACCGGACAGTTAGATGAGAGGATGTAAATTGAACTTTAATCACAAGCTGACATATAGAGAGTGGGGTTCTAGCACTTGCAGATGCCTTATGCATTTTAGCATAGTAACATCTCATCACCGTTGCCGGAATTCGAACTCGAGACTTACCCCTTGTGCACCCCTTACTACCAGTTGAGTTACGTTCACCGGTAATGCCCCGTGAAATGAAGACATTCATAGAAGGGTGTAAGTATTGAGGGGATACGTGACAGTGTGACACAAGAATTAGATTTTTTGGAGGCCTCCAAGAGTGCCAATACCTACTTGCAGTTGCCGATTCCTATATGTGCAGTAATAATTATCGGCACTCTTGGTCCATGGCTACTCCGCTGAATAGGAATCGGCAACTGCAAGTGGCAACAGGTTACCGGTTTCATAGTTCTCATCCGACATTACCGACTGGCCACCCGCAATTGCAGTCCGCAGATCACCCACCGGCCACCGTCCGTCCTTAGGCCTCGCCCAGTCCTCTAACTCTCTTAATACTTAGTAGTCCGTGAGTCCGTCTCTATACATCTTATTCCTCTTTCTCATATTTTCTCTCATTCCTCACTTTGTTTATTTGTATCTAGAATTTATACATTTAGTTAATGAAAAGTGAAATACATAGTCTAAATTCTATTTTTTGGATAAAGCTACATAGTCTATGTTGGAAAAATGTGTTAAAATTGCATTAAATGGTCCTTTTGGGGCAATTATTTGAGTGGGGTCCACTTCTGATTTGGGTCGGGTCAAAGTGGTTTCGGATTGTCCTTGTTAAGGGCTACAATTCGATATATGGTACACTCAAAACGGATAACGGGTGAATGAGAAATTGATTCTCGAAGTCACTCGTTGAAATGGAAAAACTGGGAAAATGGTGAGTTTCTAGTGTGTTTTATCCCACACCGAAAAACTCAAGGTATTTTCACCCCCTTATAAAGGGAAGCCTCTTTTAAGGAGTTAAGATTTCTAAAGGCTCTCAAAGATACGGTCTAATTTTTGTTTCTTCCCGTAACGTTTTATTTTTTCCCAGGATCAGAGTTGCTCGAACTCTGGTGGCTTCGGACCAGAGTTGCTCGAACTCTGGTGGCTTCGCATCAGAGTTGCTCCAACTCTGGTGGAGGTCTTCTGGTAGCATCAGAACTGCTCCAACTCTGGTGGAGGTCTTCTGATCGTGCACCAGAACTGCTCCAACTCTGATGGGGGTATTCTGATCGCGCACCAGAACTGCTCCAAGCCGTTACAACCATTAAATGCCCAACGTTCTTGTCTTTTAATGCAACGTTAAATGGACAGTTTATGGATGATTCAATGCCCAACGGACTGGTCATTGAAGTCCAACGTTCAGGTCCATTAACACCCCATTTAACACACAACAAATCCTCCTATAAATAGCCGGCAGGTGCTTTGCAACAAATACAACGCACAATACATTCCTCACGAATTTCTTGAGCTAAAAACACCTAAAGCTACTCAGCAAACTTCCTTCTGTGTTCATACTTGGTTCTCGTTCGCTGGAACTCTTGTTTGTGTGCTCAAACATTAGTTCGTAGTCATCGTATCCTGGGAAACGATTGTTGCAACGCTTCTAGCACCGTGGGAGGCAACAAATACGTTTTAAGGAAATCGTGCGTAGCACGAGCTTTGACTAATTCTGCTTCATCTCCTTTCCTGTTTTTCTTTAGTCATTTTATTTAATTAATTTATTTTAATTAATTTTCTTTATTTTCCGAAACACACCCTACAGTCTAAATTCTAATTTCTAAAGATAGAGGATTAAAGGCCTAACCTAAAACTGTAAAGCAGAGTGACTTGCAAACAAGCAGTAAAGCTGTCCAGCAGTAAATGCAATTTTTATACTATTTGGTCATTGATATTTTGAGGTAAATTTCTGAATTTTTGATGTTAAATACTCCGTGTTGTCAAAAAGAATGTTAAAAACTTATTCTTTTGAATATTGCAAACCTTATATAGTGCATTTTGAATATGTTTTTTCTTTGAATATGACATTTTTAATCAATTTATCTGAATTTCAATATGATTTGTCAGAGTAAATATCTTTTTTTGTCTGGGACCTCTAAAATTCTTAAACCGTCACTGGTGTTGGGGACTCGGAGGGATGAAGTGTCATCCTTTTTATCATTCCACGGATCAATGTGACATACTAGCTACAGCTGAACACTAGGGGCACCCATTGCTCCACCCCAATATCACCCAATGATTGTGATTCAAAACTAACCCACTGCCCCCCTCAATTGGTTGAAATGAAGGGAAAAAAGAAAGTTCATGGGGAACATAATTAGTGCCTAGGCCAAATGGAAACAATATGATGATTAAAACAACAAGGCCTGGGATCGGTTCGATTCTTACTCAAAAATAGTGGAATCGTTATTTAAATTTTAACAAATGAAATCGGTTCGGTTCCTATATAAAAAATCAAGAACCGATATGGAACCGAACCAATACTAAACGGTTCGGTTCTTGCTTTTATCGGTTCCTAGAATATTTTTTTCCGTGTAAGAATTAACAAATAGTTTAGCTTCTACCACATGAAAACGTCAAAAAGTCAAAACAAGTCATAAACATTTATTTAGAGTTCTAATCACTCCAAACATTAAAGCTCGGACTTAAGTGAACACTTAATAGAATAAAAAGAAGATTTTAATTTTCATTTAATACATAAAATATAAAAATCGTTCGTTATGTCGTTGAAATGAAGGTTGCTCATCATTATAGTGGCAAGGATAGGACGTACACTTTATGCCTCTCAAAACCTAGAAATACATTGAGTTTGCATGTACATCCTATTGATGGAACAAAATTTGATTTGTAAAAATGAGCTTAATGTATTAAACCTCATGTGCAAATATTTATTATTTTTGTTTTTATAGATTAAACTAAATTAAAATTATTGGCTAAATATCATTTATTAATTATTATTGTTGTTGTGTTTATTTTTGTTATATTAGTATTACTACATTACTATTACTATTATTTTTATTTTTATTTTTATATTTTTAATATTGGTTCCTTAACGGTTCTGTGCATATATTTTTTATAAGAATCAGGAACCGAACTGTTAACAACAACTAGGAACCGAACCGTTAACAACTAATATCGCATCTGTAGGAACCGAACTGAACTGGGTTATAACGGTTTGGTTCCAACCGATTTAACGGTTCCCGGTTCCAAAATCCCACCCCTAAAAACAACTACTCCGTATAAGAGATAAAATATCCGTACTTGTTGCTCTAACAATGAATAGAACAAATATAATCACTATTCATTAGTATTAATTTATAGCTTTTAATAATGCATAAGGCCTCTTCAAGTATCAGGGTCAGAGCCGCACTCTCAATCTGTCAGCTTGTGATTAAAATCCAATTAAATCTTCCCATCTAACTGTCCGGTCGGTGTTGGGGGCCTCAGGGATGTGGTGTCATCCCTTTCTAGCTTTTAATAGTTAAAAAAATAGTTATAGCACATTTGATTTGGAGTCCGTTTGGTAGCCTACTTTTTCGGCTTATCAAGCTTATCAGTCAACTTTTTCACCAAACACGTAAAAAAAATCGCGCGCTGAATTGCGTAATAATAAGAAAAAGTAAGTTTGGAGTTACTTTTCTGGTTGTATTGATTGAAGTTACTGTAGATTACCATTTTAGTTATTTTTACTGTTTTACATATAATTTTTTCTTTATTTTATTAATAAAATATATTTTATTTTATTTTTAAAAATCAAGAGAATCAAGCAATTTAGTAAAAGTAAAGGAATGAATAATACAATAAAGTAATGTTATATGAGGCATTCTACTACTTTTTGTTAATATTTAAGCAAAAAAAGTACAGGAGCATCAATTTGGAACGGAGGGAGTACTTAATTATTACTTCGCATCAACTATTCAAGTGAATAATTTTTTATGAAAATTCTTTTTTCTACTATCTCCGTCCCGGTGGACTTTGCCAAGTGCAAAGTCGTTGAGAAATAAGAATAGTAAAAGCTGTGTGGTTGAGATTTGTGCAGAGGAGATAGAAATATGCAGAACCACAAATTAGTTGCTTTAATAGTAAATAAAGTGACAAAGTTTTTTTGGAACAACCAAAAAAGGAAAGTTGTCAAAGTCCAATTGGACGGAGGGAATATAATATTACGTATTACTCCGCATTGCTTAATACTCCCTCCATCCTATTGGACTTTGCCAACTTTCGTTTTTTGATTGTCCCAAAAAACTTTGTCACTTTCCTATTAAAGGAACTAATTTGTAGTTCTGCACATCTCTCTCTTCTCTGCACAAATCTCCAACACATGGTTTTTACTATTCTTATTTCTCACCTAATTTATAGGTGTTTGGCTCTACCATTTTTGGAAGGAACCGCTGAAATGAAAATGCTTCAAATGGTAACGTTTTGGATTAGTATTTTGATATAGGTCATTTCTTACTAATTGTTCGGCTAAACAACTAAATTACCAAACACTTTTTGTAACTCGCTAACTTATTCCGCCAATCAAAACCGTTGACTGAATCCGCTATTAATAACTTTCACATAACTACGTATCACTTCGTTTTAAGAAGAAAAAAAGGATGACACCTCATCCCTGAGGCCCCCCCAACTCCGATCGGACGGTACGTTGGGAGGATGTAAATTGGACTATAATCACAATCTGATAGATAGAGAGTGGGTCTATGTCCCCGGTACTTGCAAAGATCCTATGCATTTTTATCATAGTAACCCCTCATCGCAGTTGCCGGGATTCGAACCCGAGACCTAACCCTAGTGGCACTCCCTCGCTACCAGTTGAGCTACGCCCACCGGTATCACTTCGTTTTAAACATATGAACCAGTGGGCGTAGCTCAACTGATAGTGAGGGAATGCCACAAGGGTTGGATCCCGGGTTCGAATCACGGCAACTGCGATGAGGGGTTACTATGCCAAAATGCATATGACATCTGCAAGTACCAGAGACAGAGCCTCACTCTCTATCTGTCAGATTGAGATTAGAGTCCAATTTACATCCTACTAACGTACCATCCGATAGGAGTTGGGGGACCCTCAGAAATGAGGTGTCATACTTTATTTTTACAAAGTAAAAATTTTAATTTTTACTTAACATTAACTAAAATTTTAATTTTTTTAAAAAAAATTGGAACAGAAAAGTTTAACTAGGCATCATCGGGTGAAGTTAATTCGCTCCTGCAATTTTTGATTTTTTTCCCCTTCAACTCCAAAGCTATGGCGTCATTCGGGAGGAAGCAAGGTGTAGCGATGGTTACCAATCTGTTGAAAACCCTTCTAAGACCCCCGGTCACTAGTTTCCCTTCCGGCTCGAGGAGTATTAACGGCAGCGCCGCCGGCATCGTTAGCAGCGAGATCTTCACCTCTCACACTGCTAAATGGATGCAGGTAAAAAACAAAACAATTCAATTTCTTCGATGAACACCTCATGTTAAATATTGCGAGGCATATCGACGCGTATATGATGAGAAATTGAGCGCCTGTATTGTTTGGTCGGGAGCTGTGGGAGGTTTTAATCAATTTTCGAACTTTTTATCTTTTCATATGTTGACGGAATATCGGTTAGTATTCTGAAGTAGGATGTGCTGCTATTGGTGGATGAATTAAAAGGAGACTAGCAAATTGAAATCTGAAAACCTCATTTCTTTTGCGTAGTATACAGTCTATATACAATACCAAGTCAAATAAACTTTTGTGCTTTTCATATGTTTTACATCTCATTTTTGAACTTTTTTAACACAATTTTGTGATCTTACGATATACTCTAGAGATAAAAATGTTATTTTGGAGTTCGGAGATACTATGTAATAGTATGAAACTGCATATGCTTGCATCTTATTCAAGATCAATTTTTCATGTGTTGTAAATGTAATTATATCTCACAAGCTCATATATGTGTTCCGTACACATGTATTCTGTTCTATTCAAAGTTTTGATGTTTAAATATTGTTCAACTTTATCATCCGAGCAAGATAGTTTTGTAGCCAAAGATTTCTTCTTGTGAGCATCCTACTGGCTAACTTGTGAAGCTTATGGCTCTCTCATACTCTCATATTATGCAAAATAATTAATGGTAAATGTACTATTACGTTCCACATATTCTAAAGAAACGCTAGGGTCAGATGGATCATAGGCAAGATATGGCAGGGTCAATACACAAAAAATGGCGGCCAAGGGATCCCTAGTTCTTAAATGGGTTGTAGACGGGTCTAGGCGGGAGTTTTTGAACATATGTCGTTCCTGTGTTTTTATCTTTGATCCTTCCTTTGTGCTATATGATACTCCTGCTGCCCCAAAGAAAGAGTCATGTTCGGGTAAGGTACAAATTTATTTATAGTCAAACTCAATCAAAGTACAAGCTTTTACAACTTTACATGTTATGAATGGCTAATTTTACCCCTAAAACTTATTTCAAAGTTTGTAGTAATTGACAAAAACAATTGTGCGCCTTACAAAAAATTTACTTAAAAATGAAAGTTAACATAAAAGCTGTTTCTCGTGGGCCAAAGTGGTTTTTGAAACATGACTTTTTTGGATGGAGGGAGGATAACTTGTTTTGCATTTTGACTTACCCACCTTTTAGTTGTCATTTGCATTTCAAATACAATGAAGAAATCATTTTCTTTATGGTTATCCTGGTGATCTATTTGGTAGGATATGAACAAAAAATCTCCAATGGAGTTGATCAATGAAGTTCCACCATTGAAGGTGAATGGCAGGATTGCTGCCTGTGAAGGAGGTATTCACAGATACCAATTCCTCTTGCTAATCATGTGTGTGTGTGTGTATACTTTTTTATGTTTTGAAATGTTCTCTCGCAATGCAGATAGTAACCCTGCACTTGGACATCCAATTGAGTACATATGCCTTGATCTGGATTCACCTGCGATTTGCAAGTACTGCGGCTTACGTTATATCCAAGATCACAGTGGTCATCACCATTGAGATGCTGAAAATCAACCATTTGTCTTCTTATGCAACTGCCCTAATGAAACAGGACTGCATCCGCTTATCAACTGTATACTGTGAACCTCATTTTAATTCTGCAAATTGATGGTGGCCTTCTGTAATAACAACTATATTATGTCTTTATGAACATGAATTGTTGTGTTTAAGTGAATATTTCATTACTATGTGGATGAGGAGAACAGTGTAGAGTTCAATTATTTTAGTCGAACATAACATGGAAATGAGTCCTTAAGGGGCGTGTTTGGTCAAAACAGTTGGAATGTATAATGATCTAGTCCGGATGGAGGTTATCTTTTACTAACTATAATGCAATAATTATCTTACTTTGATGCCCTCCAAAAGGTGAAAACATTACCTAGGTGAACTGAGATATCTGATTCATCATAACTATTGTTAATATATTGGATAACCCATAAGCTCACAATGGTAACTTGGATAGTTCAAGGAAATATGAGGCTGTTGAGTTCCGTAATAGGCTAATACAAAGAATTATGTTAGGAAAGTAATGTTATATTATCTCATTTGGTTGGAGTTGTAAAATGCTAGAGACAAGAGAACGTAAGGTTTTATTGTTCGGTTCAAGTTTTAAGATTACAAATGATGATATATGACTGCCATAAAAGAAAATTCCTGCCATAGTAACACTTGTTTGGCCATTTTTTATAAATCCGGAAACATTCTTTCGTGGCTCTTCCAGCATTGGAGAATATCTAAGTCGTCCGCTTCATTAAACTCAAAGGAAATGTTAGATATAAAGAGAGCTCGTTAATCGAACTTTGTGCAATGGCAATAGTTGATTTACTTTTTTTCAAAAGAGTAGATATTGTTGATTAAAAAAAACCTTTTCCTTTAGATGAAGAAGCACTCGGTGTCGGGGGAGGGGGTATTGTCACACCCCAGACCGTGTCTGTGCCACATAGACAACCGTCGTACAACCCAATAAGAATAATCGTAGTTCATCCTTACTAAATTGCACAAGACGTCCGATAGATACATATGCCAAAACCGATTAGTAAACATACATAACAACATCAACATACAATTAAACACATAGCGGAATATAAGTGTTTAATAAGAACCCCACACAAGGGTAAAACAAGAGCTCGCAGGCTCCATTAATTTATAAGTCAAAAATAGTTCCATGAGCATTATTTAATTATTTAGAAATAGAACCAGAGGAAGCACGAACCACGTCTTCTCTCCATCGATCTCCCGAACAACGGGTGTAGGAAGTAAACTCTAGCTTCAACCTGAAAGGGTGGTTCCCCCGAGGGATCAGTACTACAGCAAAGTACTGGTGAGGGCAAACTGTATGTAATATAACTAACGTTTCTCACATGGGACCCTCAACATAGGGTGATAGTATATGTATAGGCATAACTCTTGGCTACGCCTTTTCAAAACATATCGTATACGTATATACATATGAGTAAAATATCCGGCCCGTGGGCCCATTTGTCTTTCAAATCATTTAGGCGTAACAACCTCATTAAATTCACCCTTCCCATGTCCTACCCTCGAGTGAAGTCACCCGCAGGCTAACTCACCCGATAACAAAGATAATTATTGCGGGGCCCTTCGGGCTCCCATATCACAGACATGGTTTAAATTAAATTCCTAGACCAAGGAAAATACCCTATCGGGAACTCATTCCCGATCACGAATGTTTAATCATCTAAAATCATTACTTGAGGTTCACCTACCTCGGGGACTATTCTTCCTTACAATCATAGTTTACATTTCCGGGGCTAACCCCGCCTTGAGGAGTACACATACACCCTCATCCTATGTGTAATTTGCTGGAGGTTAACACACCTCAAGGACTACACGGGCCCTTGTTACCTATATGCAATTTGATGGAGGTTAACACACTTCAAGGACTGCATTTACCCTTGTTACCTATGTGTAATTTGCTGGAGGTTAACACACCTCAAGGACTACAGAGGCCCTTGTTACCTATATGCAATTTGATGGAGGTTAACACATCTCAAGGACTGCATTTGCCCTTGTTACCTATGTGTAATTTGCTGGAGGTTAACACGCCTCAAGGACTACACGAGCCCTTGCTACCTAAATGCAATTTGATGGAGGTTAACACACCTCAAGGACTGCATTTGCCCTTGTTACCTATGTGTAATTTGCTGGAGGTTAACACACCTCAAAGACTACACGGGCCCTTGTTACCTATATGCAATTTGATGGAGGTTAACACACCTCAAGGACTGCATTTGCCCTTGTTACCTATGTATAATTTGCTGGAGGTTAACACACCTCAAGGACTACACGGGCCCTTGTTACCTATATGCAATTTGATGGAGGTTAACACACCTCAAGGACTGCATTTGCCCTTGTTACCTATGTGTAATTTACTGGAGGTTAACACACCTCAAGGACTACACGGGCCCTTGTTAATATTTGAGTATAAAGGACTCATCCTAGTCCTACAGAGTTTTACCTGACCTTACTCGGTCCCGAGTATTCACCCGTCATGTATAATCTACCACTTACCTCGCCCGGTCGTGGTCTATAATTTCTTTACTAACGACTAGTCCAAGTCTTAGCGTTTAAACCATATTCGAAGCCTTAGCAACCAACGTGGATGGGTCCCACCCGAACGGCTCACGTAAACTTACTCAAAAACTGCATATTGGGTGTATAACCCAACACCCGGTCGGGTATTTACCCATACCCGGTCGGGTATGGTGAGGCAGTAGCCTCTGGAACAAATTTTACTTGAGACCCGGTCAGGTCTATACCCATACCCGGTCGGGTCTAATGTGGCAGTGGCTTCTGGAGCCATTTTTAATCAATACCCGGTCGGGTATTTACCCATACCCGGTCGGGTATCACCTTTGTCTTGGCGGTCAACGCCCGTTTGACCGCCCAAACGAAGTCCGATTAACGAGAAATTTTATACACATGTACTTCTTGACGTCCTTGATCCAAAAATACCATTTTGGATCCCTGGAACATCATACATAATTAATTATCACATTTTAACTCATCAAACTTACTTAACATGCTTTTCAACTATATTTTTCTTATAATCATGGCATAACACATACTTGATTATCTTTAATCATTCCATGAAATATATTCTTGATTACTTTAGGTAATCTCATGCCTCACTCAAACTTTATAAAACATAAATCCATCTTCTCACAACTATTAATAAGTACTTCATACTTATTAATCATTTATATATTTCGTTCTAGTTTATTCTTTATAACTAGATTTAATTTAATGACATGTATGATTAAGTACTTGAATCCTTCAAGAATACCATCTTGAATTACCTTAGTTAATGTCCAACTAAATCATTCATGATTATCCTTCATCAAAAATATTACTCCCTCCGTTCCCAAAAATACTTCCCACTTTCCTTTTTGGGATGTTCCCAAAAATACTTCCCACTTTCCCATTTTGGACAATTTGTGTGGCTCACATTCATTTTACCTTTTTCTTACACAACCACAACCATACATTTCCACTTTATTCCACTTTCTTAATAAGCGTGCCAAGTCAAACCGGGAAGAATTTTTAGGAACGGAGGGAGTAATAATTCTTTTACTCATTAATCATGCCATTTTCACATAACTTATAATCATTATAGCTAATCACTTGTTTAAACACTTTTAAACATTTCTATACATATTCAAATACTAGATTACTCTAGTTATCTCATACATAGTCCATGTATGCATTTTGATACATTTGACAATAATGTATTCATGATTAATCCAAAAATAAATCTCTTATTCATTAATCATGTAATATTTCCATAAATCATATTCACCATGACTAATCATGCATTTTAATCCATTTAATCATTCCTCAAATCATGATTATGATTTTATTTAGGTAATCCCACGTTTGACCCAAGAGTTACAAGACACGTAGTCGTTGACTCACCTCGAAATGACGCTAGCAAGCTTTTATCCTCTTCGTTTGAACTCCGGCGACTTTTGGAATTTTCCGGCGAAAACTCCGGCGGCTCCGGCGACTTTTCCGGCCACTCCTAGATTCTTTGAGATGTCTAGAATACCTTGGTAAAATTTCTAACAAGGTTTCACAACCAAAAGTGGTATAAACATCAAAACCTTTCGGGAAGGTGTTTTCCGGCGAACCGGTCTTACTCCGGTCATAACTCCGTTCATGGTCAAAACTATCCTTCCAACCCCTCATTCTACACCTCTAGAAGTGTAGAACAATCTTATGGGTGTATCATATGATTTATAAAATCATATGAGATTAAAATGAAGAAGAAAAATACCAGTAAAGTCATTACCTCATTTTTTTCTAGGTTTTCTTTACTTTCTCTATCCCTTCTTCTTCCTTGAGCCTTCCTCTTGCTTGAGCTCGGTTATGGATATGGAGGAATGGTGTTGAAGAGATCTATCTATTGTTTTTGGGTTTGGTTGGCCGAAATATTTTGTAGGTGTTGGTTGGGGAGACTTTTCTCTTATCAATCACACAAATGGGTGTGAGAGGGAGGTCCACCTTGTCCTTTTTGATGCTAAACCTCTCCAATCACCCATAATGCATCCCCATCACACTCCATCCCTCAACTTGGCTGCTTGGTTGCACAATTACGTGGGATGGCCCCCACTCATGTGGGAGGTCATCTATTTAAGTCCCAAAGTGTACAATCGTTCCCGAAAGTTGTATTTTTCAAACTGTTTTAATTAAATTTTATTTTATCGGGCCAAATAAAATATATATTATTCTTCCGATTAATATTGGCCCATAGAATGAATATATATTATTCAACTTTAATTTCGTGGTTCTCGGAACTTATTTTGGGCTGTTATCTGTTAAATTACCAATACCGATAATGGGACCGCTCTTGATCAAACGGCCGACTCTATGGCTAAACATAAATATAAACCATCATATAAATATCATCTAGACCAAGATGAATATAATATGTGATCCCGGAAATATTGGATGTACAATAAGTATTGCATATTATTGAGTTTGTAAGTTAATAAATTAAGCATGGTTTGTATTTGATCTCTAACCTATATATTAATGTATAACTATTTCTTAATTATACAAAAAGTAGGAAGTAATTAACAAAAATATTGGAAGTAGGAACTAGTTAACTACAACAATGTAGGAACTAGTTAACTACAAATGTATATGTTAAATATGAAAGTGTAGGAGTATATAAATATAATTGTAATATAATATACTCCGTATTTAATATGAAAGATTGAAAGAGTAGGAGTAGGAATGTAGAAATAGAAATTATAAATATTTATATAGTGTAATGATTAATAAGTATATAAATATAATTATAATATGAATATATGAAAGATGAAAGTGTAAAAGTGATTGAGAATTTGAGAGTATAGAATTTGATTAGAAGTAGAACAGTGTGAAAAATGAACAAAGTGAGTACCCGAGTAGGTATATATAGGAAAAACAATTGGTACCCCCCCACCCCCCAAACCCCTCCCCAACGGCCATACAGCAATTACTAGTCGTTCCAAACGGCTAGTTTGACCCTAGCCCCCAGCCTCTAATTAAAATTCAAAAAGAAAATCAGAACGTTGGGACCGGAAGCGGGACCGCCCGGTCCGGTCCAGTCCCAAAATGACCTACCCGAGACCGAGCCCGCCCTCCACCCGGTCGGGTACCCGGTCCAAGCCTAGGACCGAGTCCACCCCTACCTTCATCTACTACCTTTAAACAAATTAATTACTTGTTTACAAAATCAACTTAACAGATCAGGTAATTTTACATTCCTCCTCTAAAGTGAAAGGTGATCTTAGATTTTACAAACCAAGCACACTCCTTAATAGTATGAGATATCTTTTCTTTTTATAGAAAATGCTTGTGTGATTGCTATTGGAATCATAGATACAGCGAATGAAGCAACAAGTATACTCCATATTTATTACCAATGTAATATAAGATACAGTGAGCAAGAGCTGTTCGTTAAAGTTAAGACCATACTTCCAAAAAAAGAGGTCATGCTCCTAATGAGGACTCGTGAATATCAAAATTCCAGTAAGAGCAATGAATATAGGCATCTTTGAGGAACATGAATGATGATTTCTCAATAGCATATACATATGTATGCTAATTCATCTTACTAAAATAAAATATTTAAATATCTAATTCAAAATCAACGATGCTTAGAAATATCAAAGACCTTTCCCATCCCCAGAAGCAGCAGCTAACTTCCTTCTTTGTTGATGCTCTGCAACTTTGTAATCCACTACTTCACGAAAGAGAGTCGGATCCAAAAGACACTTCTCACTACCATAAACAGCAGCTTGAACACTTGCCATCAGTTTGGCAATCTCTCTCCCAGAAAATCCTTGCGTCTTTGCTGCAGCTTCCTTCAGAATATCATCAGTCAAACCTTTGACCTCTATCTTCTGGGTTGGTTTCCGAAACCGGGAAAGAATGCCTGTCTTTCGTGCCCCGGCTTGAGCTATGTATTTGTCCATGTAAAGTTTGAGCAACTCAAAGCGTTCTTCTTGGCCCGGGAGTGGAAATTCTAGGACTTCATCTATACGATCTGTGACGGCTGAATCGAGATCACCTGGGCGGTTTGTTGCTAGAGCAAGGACTATATCTTTGGACTGGTCACCAGTTCTGAACAGAAGGGCATTTAAGGCACTTCTTTGAGCTTCACTCATATATGTTTTGTTCCTCCTGGAGTTTACAAAATCACAACAGTCAGAAATAGTTCCTCGGAAATTCTAGCAAAACTCAGTTCACAATACAAAAGAACTGTTGGCAATAAATAGAGTGTTTTGATAGGGTTGAATTTCGTCATATAAACAAGTTTTTGTACCAAACACCAACTGATTGACGTCTGATTATAAAAACTAGCACATGAATTATTTCTAGCTCAAGTTAAAGAAATTCATACCTGTGCATATAGAATTTACTTTCTTTGATTTTTTTAAAATAAATGTTATACATAATTTTTTCCAAGATCAATAATCTAATTCAGCAACTAAGAACACTTCAGAAGTCAAACACTTCAGCATTTCATGGCTTGCCAGACATGTTATTGTATCCATTTTAAACCTCTTCTCGCTCTCCTCTCAGGCTCTCGCTTGGAGAGTGTTCTATTTTATGGTTTTTCCTTGGTTATGCTAACTCTAGATGTATTACGGAGTACTATGTATCCATATAAAGCACATAAACTTTATCCACTTGTCAAATCCATAATTAGTAAGGGGAAAATGATGGGTTTCTTTGTATGGGGGAAATATAAAAATCACACAAGTATAAAATATAACAGGCAGTACTACTTACTCGCATAAAAATGCATCTGCTTCATCAATAAATAGTAGCAGGCCCCTATTGGACTTCTTGGCCCAGTCAAACAGTTGATGAATTTTGGTGACAGCCTGAGGACCAAGTGGCGCTACATCACCTCCCGTCATCAGTGCATAGTCAAGCCCCTAGAAACATACAACGAAATAGATTATAAGAGTTCACCAAGAACCAAATAAACATTCCAATCACATACACCATTGAGCGTACACTAAATTGGGCTATCCTGAGGTCCTGAGTGCGTAAAGGCTTGTTGGGCTTTACCTTGGAAAGTGCAATGGAAAGAAAAATATGATTGTATTCTTTTGATTGTTTTACATATATTTTGATTTCCTAGTTATTATTATCCTACATATAATAATATAAATATATAAATAGTGTGTTTGATCAGTATGTAAAATATATAAATAAAATGCTTCTGAACATTTATTGAGTTTGAGCCTGTCATTTGTTTTTCTCCAACCCCAGCCCTTCCCGTGTTCCAAATAGGACCTTAAGGTCAAATATCACTTACAGAGCTACGAGCAATCTCCCTAGCAACTAACGTCTTCCCCGTCCCTGGAGGGCCATGGAAAAGGACATTACGAAATGGTGCCTGATGTGCCTTTGTAAAAGTCATAGTCCTAACAAGCTGAGAAACTCTCTTCTTAAGAGAGGGGTTAAGAACAACATCCTCAAGCCCCTTTTCAGCCTGAGATGAAGATCCACCTTTAGAAAGAGTGCTCAAGCCACGCTTAAAGAAACCTGACCAAGGGTATTTCCCCCTGGATGATTCTCTGATCAATGATGGTTGTCCCAATATTCTGTCCACGTAACTCCAAATGACTCTAGCACCTTCTCTGGGATTGAAAAACAAATGGAAAATAAATAAGAATGAGTTCATTAAACTAAGATAGGAGTTAATCTCCAACCATAACTTCAAATACATGACCGATTCTATTCAAAATTGTGATTCATCATACCTTGTCGTGTAGACACCGGCAGCAAGAGCTGTCACACCACCAACAGCCACAACCAACTTATCTTGATCAGTTAATATTGCACGCAATCCCCCTGCAAAAGATGGACAGCTTCCCTCAAAATTCCAAAATATGAGCCCATTTTATTACTCCCTCACAAAAAGGTGGTGTCTAGTTCGTATGACAATGCTTGACCAAATCTATTTCCAACTCAACTTTTGTGAAATTTAAGAGAAAATATTTTTGTGGAAAACGTTTTCTGGATTTTCATGTGTTTGGCACAGGAAACCACTTCTCAGTAATGATTTTCATGTGATTGGCCCTTTTCCATAACTCTGAACTTTTGTGGAAAAAGACTTCACAAGACAGTTAAATGTTTTTCTAATTTTAAAGACTGAACAATATATTATACACAGAAGAACATATTTTATTGGGATAAAAATACACCTAGGAAAACGTTTTCCACGAGTTATCCTCCTGAAATCATAGGAAGCTGGAATTTAGTGTAGAAAAATAAGACTCATATAGTTATAAACTACACTGGACTATTCAATTAATCACATTATTCGAAAGAGAAAGTATTACTCTTCCATTAGCATGATGTATTTTGAGCAAGTTCTGCAAACACAACTTGCTTTAAGGTTCTCATCAGGATTCAGGACTATACCTCCGATATGCTCAAAGGTTGTGTTTATAGCTGAGACCCATTTTTCTCTTTCTGCATTCGCACGTTCTAGTAGCAGTCTTCTGTTAACATCTTCAGCAAGCTTAGCTTCAAGCGCTCTTCCTTCTGCTTCAGCTAAAGTTTGTATTCTGATAGTTTCCTGTTTCATCTTTTCCTTTTCCCTCTCTGTCTGCCGGCGTTGTGCTTGAATTTGCTCTTCCGTTGCTCGCCTGGCTGCCTCCTGTCTCATAGCCGACTCCTCTTGCATCTTTACCAGTTCCTGATTCCTTGCTCTATGATGTTCATTTTCTGCCTACAAAATTTGCAGGAAAAAGTTATAAATACTGCTAACTGACCAAGTTTCAATTTGAATGGGTTGTGGAAGAAATCATCACATGCCTGCATCCGTTTCCTTGCTAGCTCATCTTCATAACGAGCCATCTGTGACTTGATTTGTGCCTGTTGCTGAGCTAGCTTTTTCTGTTCATCATATATCACTCTTTGTCTCTCCTGTGAACCAAGAAACTTGCATGTTTTAATAATATGCTAACCTAACTAAGCTCAGATTGTTTCAAAATCATCAATTCAGAATTCTTGTTGGGCAACTTATAGATATTCAATTTCAGCCCCCGGGAGGATATTGGGTTAACTATGGAATATGGATCAGTTGAGGTGTTAATAGAGCCAATTATCAGACATGTGCAGGTCATTCAATTTTGACTAGCTTCATGTGAGGCTAAAACTGCACTCAATTTTCAATTCATTGTTGAATTGATATCTTAAAAATGAACAATATTGGAAATTTCGAGATCCTGGTTAGAATGAAAATTTTAAATGATTGGCCAACATTGCAATAATGTTTAATAATAATATTTATTGTACTAGTATGATAAAAAACTAGAGAGTTTTCATCTCATTATTCATTTAGAAGGTTGCAGCGGAAAGGAATTCAACGTGTAATTTTGCAGCTGCGTTTCTTGCATGAATATATATTTCACGACAAAAGGTTTTGACAGTACAAATTTCTTGTCACCAACATATGCAAATGGAATTAAACTACTAAGGTGTTATATGTTCATAATGATGACCAAAGTCAACTATTGAATAGAATGAAAAATACATTTCGAAGTGGAGATTTTCTTTGATGTGAAAACCATAAAAAAACCAAGGCATACACACTTAGGTATGGTCCTTTTAACACTGCAGATTGTTCAATAATGATATATTACAGACTGAGACAATCAGCATTGCCACATGATTTGGTCACCACAAAAATGCATTTTAAATAGACGAATGAAGGATATGATCAACAAAAAAATCTTTTAGTTCAAACTTTCAAACTGTAAATCAAATAAAAGAAATCAGGATGGACATTAATAGTTAAATCTAAAAACAATCAACGAAACATGAGCTTCTTTGCAGGTGAGAAAATTCTATTAAACAGAACAACAAACCTCATGAAGTTCCCTATATAGTTGTCATCTTACGATAATGCCAGATGACAATTCTAAATCATTTTATGTAAGGAATACAGATATCATTATTAGGCACATAGATCATTACAAACATGCTTTCTAAAAAGACATGAAATTAAAAATGATAGGATAAAGGACTGAAGCTTGATGAAGATAAATCTTACAGTTTCAGCTTGAGCTTGCAAAGCTTTAAACTCAGCCAATTTTGCAGATAACTCTGCCTGCTTTGTATCCTCTTGCTTTCTTATGACCTCAAAAACCTAGAATAAATCAAATAGTCAGTCTTTCTTTAAAACTAATCATAGCCTCATGTAGTCATGTACCCTTCTATATAGACACAACTTAAAAAGTGTGGCATTTAAGAAAATTTAAATAATCAATTAATCAAAAATTACACAATAGAGGCATGTGCTTTCACATACAATGCCTTATGGTGTAGAGAAATGAACACCATTATTCTAAATACTGAAGCTACTAAGTATATTTTTAATCACACCGTTAGAAAATTGGTCCATAAGAAAGATCGAATTTGTTATCAAATCCAAATTTCATTACATTGAACAATTCTAAGCAGTAAAGAGGGTGCAAACATTATAACTTTCCCGTCTTGTCCAGCATACCAGTGAGTTTCTTCTTAAAGCAGAAACAAATTTAAATCCATTGGTTACCTGTTTTGCACCGGTAGACTTGTTAATCTCTCTCAAAGCCTTGACACCTCTCTCCAAAGCTTCTGGGTCGAATCCGGCCGATGTTGTTCTGGGATGATCATTGCGAGGTTTTGGAGGTTCCGCCGGAGGTGGCTGCTGGGGCGGCTCTCTGGAGTCAGCATTCGGAAGCTGAGGAGAGGGTTGGGTCGATGACGTAGAGGGTGAAAATGGAGAGAAGCTGAAAGACCCATCTGCGTAAGCAGGTTTTGCTCCTAAAGTTGCAGCTGCCATGGTTGCAATAAGCCCAGCTGCATTAACATTCGCCATTTCCGATCTTTACAATTTTCTATTCCTTCTCTCCGTAAGAAAAAATCGTCAGAGAAGTTTTATGAGGTTAGTAGGGTTTAGAGGGTTCTTGTTGAACAAGAAATCGCCATTAACATGTTACTCCGTAAAAGATTGTGGCAAAAAAGTTCAGGGTTTATGTAGGGTTTGAAATTCTTGGCAGAGCGCCGGGTTTGGGCTTCGGGTTATTAGTCTAACCGGTTCAATTGATGGAGCTAAGATACGGTAAACTGATGTCGTTTTTTCTTGTACCTTTTTCTTAAAATAAACGAAAGTGATTTGTCATTTTTATTTTGCCTAGAATTTATTACTGTTTTTTCAATTTACTTGAACATAAATAAATATTTTAACTTGTGGAGGACACAAGTCATTTGATTAACAATCGTTATATATCGCCATTATTTTGGTTTAGGTTTAAATTTACATGAACAAAATAATTATAATACGTAATAGTAATAATGAATGTAAAAATTGAACAAGTTTGGCTACTTCTTTCATTTTAAAATTGTTGTCCATTAGTGTTCGTTGTTGTGGAGAAATTTCAAACAAGTTTCTAACATCATACGGAGTATTTATAGCATCACTCTCAAGACATGATTCGATCTAACTTTGTTGAACAATTCACCGACTAATTAAGTTCAACTTTACCAAAATACCCTAATGAGTTGATTTAATATAGACTGTGTTTGGCACGCATAAGCCTCTACCTTGTAACTTTTGTACTGTTCAAAAAGTCTCAAAAAACTTCTAGTTTTATGATTGGCATGACAGTTTTTAAGAATTTTTCAAAAATTAAAAGATGTTTTTTGAGATGCTATATGGAGTAGCATCTGAAAAAAACTCGTGACTTTTAGTATTAATTAGTCCTAACAGCATGTACAGTAGCATCTTTTCGGTCACTGGTTAGAATTCATATGACTCAGGTAACAACTAGGCAGAGAGATACAGATGTTGGCTCTCCTTTAATGAAGGACATCACTCTTATTCTTGCTATTCCTTCAAGTCTAACCGTGATTCTATCGATTTTCAAATCAACACATAGACATGTGGATTTAGAGTTTGATTTCATCTTTGCAAGAAATATTATATAAGGATACACTTAATTTCTTTGTTTTAGGTTTTCATTTCTCTTGTATTAACAACTTCATATAATCGTTTTCATACAAATCCATATTGAGAGAGCCCTATTTTTGGGCCATAAATTCTTGTGTTGCCCTCAACATCTTTAATTACTCAATTCTTCAAAGACCATGTTTGTTTTGAAGGAATTGTTGCAAGCAGGAGTAAAACATTAATATAGAAAAATATTCTTATAAGATCGATTCTTTTACGAGTAGATGAGTTTTGTTTTCAAGAAAAAACTATGATGATCCTAAATAACATTCTAGTTTAATCCCTCATTTTAGATTATTTTTCTTTTTATTGATTGAAACAAGTCTGGTGAAATTTTATATAAGCCTGATCCACGTCTATTTGTGGCCAACAGACATAATGGCATGGGAAACATTTAGAAATATATTTAAAATACAATTAGAAAGTACGTAAGTAACTTATATAATTCAATACAACACAACAACATCCAAGCCTTAATCCCAAAAGAATTTGGAGTCGGCTAACATGAATTGATCTATGATATCGATGCCAAAACGAGAAGACTTACAACAAAGGGAAGAAAAAAAAGTAAGATAAAATGCATAAAATAAAGATGAATAAATATAAGATAACAATAACACAAGAATATAAGAAAGATAAAAGATAAAAATAAAAGAGCATAAAAATGCTAAAAGATAAAAATAACATAAGAATATAAAAAGATAAGGAAGATAAACGATAAAAGAAAAAAGAGAGGAAAGATAGACAAAACATCAATCGTGCACACGGCTGTACGTCCTCCACTTTGCTCTCCAAAACCATACTTTCATCCAACCCAAGAAGACGCATATCAGTTCTGATTCCTCTAATCTAAATCTATTTGGGTCTTCCCCTCCCTCTCTTCTCTGTCTCTTCTCCCCACCCCTCAAGTCATCTCACAAGCACATCACTCGGTCTTCTACGCACATGCCCAAACCACCGCAAACGAGACTCCTGCATCTTATCTTCTATAGGTGCTACTCCCACATTTTGTCCGATTACCTCATTCCTCAAGCGATCTTTTCTGGTATGTCCACACATCCAACGCAACATATGCATATCTGCCACACTCATCTTTTGAATGTGACATTGCTTCACCGCCCAACACTCTACGCCTTACATTAATGCCGACCTAATTGCTGTACGATAAAAGTTACCTTTCAGTCTAGTCGGCATACCTCAATTAGGGTTGTAAATACCTCAATCGCATAGAAATCCTAAAGCACTCTTCCATTTCATCCACCCAGCTCTGATTCTATGGCATACATCTCCATTTAAATCACCATCCTTCTGAATTATGGAACCCAAGTTAAAATGGAAGATCAGTCTGATCCATTTAATTTCTTTTTCCACCCAGTGTTTCTTGTGCCTGGCTGCTTTTCCGTTCTAGTGAGGGTTGAGAGCCCTTCTCTCCCAAATTGACCTCAACGGTCATTTTTGGCTCCTTCATGCCGGAAACAACCTTCCACCACCGCAAACCACCATCAACCACCTCTCTGGAGCTCGTATATCCTTTATATTACTTCCTCCATACCTTGGTTGAGTAATATCTGGGATATACCTGCTTCATCCTTCCGCAAATCGCAAAAAAAATCAGCGCACATTTACTATTCACTCAAGAAGGTCAACACTCGTAACTCAACATCTACTCGGCCAAAATTTGATTTGAGCATAGATTGAGGTTCGCCTTGGTGTGAGGATCAACCTTATCTACTTTGTTTCATCATCAACCTCGGCCGTACAACAAGCTACTGTTCATCTCCAACTCCATTGATACGGAATCCTAGCTCAAAAGTCAAGAAAAACTCCAAAGGTACTCGTTTTAGAAGGGGTTGCTATTTTTAGCTACCCCTTCCATGTTTTGAAGACTCTATCATTCTTGCTCACTTTACCAACATAATGCCTAAATCTACGGCCAAAAAGAAGGAGCCCCAAGCTCCAACGAAATCTTCTTCAAGGCTAAAGGAAAAGGCAAAAAACAAAGAAGTGGAAGATGCCCTCTCGGCAATGGACCAAGTTAGTGACTCGGAACTAGAGTTGGACCTCAATGCTAGTGATTCCGAGGGAACTTCAAGGCCATTGCAACCTGAATTTGCTGCTCAACCTCCTGACCCTGAGGTCCATGCACGCCCTCTAAAACAGGTTAGTGAAAAGCAAAACGCTAACAAGGAAAGTGTGGTGAAAAACCAAAATGTTGGTCAAGTGGAAAAACAAATGAATGAGGGTACTACGGATATTGTTTTGATTGAAAATGATGCTGTAACCGAACCTCAAATTCAAGTAGAGGGGGATGTTAATGATTTGTATGTGGCTGCCCTTGGCAAAACTCTTCCATTGAAAGTGGTCGAGACTCCAATTCCCAAACCTTATGCATCTTTATTCAAAGATAATAGGGAGACTACTAAAGGAATGAAGTTAAGGTTTATTGAGCCCGTAGGGGACTATGTTGACTTGTTTGATAGAAGTATGCCATCAATGGTGGAGATTTGGGGTCATTGTCTTGTTGGGTATTTCGCGGGTAGATATCCCGATTTCAAACCAATACAAGAGCTTGTATCAAAATGGGGGTGTTCCTTGCAAAGTAAGAACCCATGATAGAGGGTGGGTGATTTTCAAGTTCCAAGGGGAGGAAGAAAGATCCAAAGTCCTCATGGAGGGTCCCTATACTCTATTTGGAAAATCACTATATCTCAAGACACCCTCGGACAACTTCTCCTTTGAAAGTGATGAATTCTTGAAAGTTCCAATATGGGTAAAATTCCTTAACCTCCCATTGCAAATATGGAATGAAGATGTTATAAGTGAAATAGCCTCAAGGGTGGGCATGCCACTTACCACGGATAGAGTTACCCAAGAAAGGTCCATTTCTAAGTATGCAAGAGTCCTAATTGAAGTTGATGCCTCCAAACCGCCACCACTCACCTTGAAAGTGAGATTGCCGAATGGGAGGTTTCACTTCCAAAAGGTTATCTATGAAACATTTCCAAATTATTGCTTCAATTGCAAGGCCTATGGGCATCATGCATTTACTTGCAAAGTCCTAGCCGAAATGGAGAGGAAAGAAAGGGAAGAGAAGAAGACACAAGACCAAGGGAAAGAGGACCAACACAAGGTAGACAAAGGAAAGGGCAAGGCACCTGTGAGTAATGTCGCGGCTTCACTAGAGAATGGCAACATTTATGCTGCGGCATCACAGGGGGGGGGGGGGGGGACTTCAAAGAACACGTATGCCACGACATCACAGGGGGGGACATCCAAAAATTCCAATGCCGCGGACTTGGACAACTCCTATGTCCCAAAAGAGGAGCACCCATTTATTAAGGCAGCAAGGCTAAAGAAGAAAAAGAGGAAGCCTAAAAAGAAAAAACAACCAAAGGAAGATGGACTCCGGCTATGAAACTATACAAGAACATGATGAGGAGGATGACCAACCGAGAAAGATTACAAGTTTCAAGGACTTCTTTGATGATGAAGTCATCATAGAGATGGAAGCGGATGAATTTGGGGAACCTAGCATCAAAGTGGCACACATTGAGGAGATAACCGAGCCTACAATCAGATTGAACCACCTTCTACAAGTGGTAGATGATGCTCAACCAGGGGTCTTCTTTACCAAAAAATGTTTGGAAAAACACCCGGGGGTGAAAAGAAAAAAGAAGGATTATGTCTATACCTCACTTTTCATGAGATGTGTGTATAGACACTATCTTTATAGGTACTTTGAGGATGGTCACCTAATGGGTAATGGAAGCAAAGTGAAGGATTTGAGGAAGTTTACAAGAAAAACAGTCCGGGTGGTAAGAGACATCAAGGAGGCATATTTGGATGATGTGATCACAAAGATTGAATTCCAAGAAGGAGAAAAGCCGAGGATCCACTTGATGCATTGTGATGATGTGGAAGTGATGATGACAAGGCTAGATAACTACTTGGATGAGGAGGAAAGCTTGGCACGCAAAGGAATCACTTTTACCACCGAATGCCTAAAATCTCTTCCCGAGGCAAACCTAACGGAGCAAGGGTATGAATTCTCTTCTAACTTTATTAT